GGTGGCAATTGATAGCTAGAGAGTTAGCAGGACCCTTGTGCACTGTCCCCTAAGGATCACCAGAAATCTGGGTCAGGAAATTAGACCTCCCTCGGGTATATATAATTGGCACTCGAGTTCATGTACTCAGATAATAAAGAAAATAATGATATGGCAGAAAGCAAAGTCAGAGCATTAAAAGCATGGTTTCTTTTAACCATCAGGGAAGTAACAGGTGATTATTGTCCTTTAGACTGTCCCTCTTTGCTTTTGAGTTGTGGATGATATTACCCAAGTCATTTCTCAGACAGTACAGTGGGATAAGAGGTAGTCTAAATATCTGGTCTATCCCTGGCCAATGCACTAACTTGTCCCTAAGACATGCCTGCAAGAATCCCCAGACATTGAGAGGAAGTGTGGCTCAAAGAAGGAACCCATTTTATTTAAAATTAGGAGGCTATCAAGTTTAAGTAGCAGAAACAGAAAAAGAGCTGTTAATCAATTCTGGAAAGTATTTAAAGGTCAATAGGACACTGTGAAAAACCCATAAAATGGGGAGAAGGAAACTACTGAACATAAAAATCTTTGCATTCTTCACAAGAAAGGAGTCAGCCAAAAACTTATAATCTGATTAAGCAGAACTGAAGTCTCCGTGAAGCCCACGTGTATACCAGTCCTCATTACCTTGGTAACCTCTTTCTCAAGAAAATGATGTTAGGTACTGCAGTCCCTAATAAGATGGTAAGTAATGTCGACAATTGCATCTTCTGCTGACCTGAGATCCATTGCGCAGATAATAAACTGAATGTTTGGGGATCCACAGTGCTCCTCTTGTGAAGCCATAAGTCCTCTGCACCAAAGGGATTTCCATTGAGAAGATGGAGCACTTAGTCTCCCCCTGGACAGGGCATGTGCTAATTGAGACTAAGACAATTGTACTGACCTTCATTCTCTGCATGGCACTTTGGGTCCATTAGAACCCACCACTATTCCTCTTATCTTGGCTCATTTGATTGAACAGGGCACGCCAATAGCACCTCTTCCAAAGGAGGGTTAAGGGGATTGAAGAAGGACACATATAAACACTTTGAATTATCCTTGGCTCATATCAAGAATTCTTCATGCATTAGGTATTAATAGTGTGGTTGTTAGATAGGTGCAGTGGTGCATGACTTTAATCCCAGCACGTGGGAAGCAAAAAAAAAAAAAAAAAAAAAAAATGCAAGCAGATCTTTGTGAGATTGAGGCCAGCCTGGTCTACATAGCTACAGGGAGACCCTACCTCAAAAAAAAAAAAAAAGTGGCTGTTGCTATTGTTACTGTTATCTAATAGATATAGTTAGACTCGGACTCAGACTTAGCAAATCACTGTTTATTTGGACAGTGTATGTGATGGAAAGGATGGAGCAAGAGCAGGAAGAGTATTTGTAAAATAGAAGGTGTGGGTGTGGGTCAAGTCCAAATTTCATACCTGGATCCAAGTATCAAAGTCCTTCTTAGACCAAAGACAATGAATTATTTTTGAGACGTGGTCTCACTATGTAGCTTTGGCTGGCCTGGAACTCACTATATAGATTAGGCTGGCCTCCAACTCGTAGATAGCTGCCTGTCTCTGCCCCTCTGGTCCTGAAAAATGATACTTTTTAAAGTTATCTTGACTATTCTCCGGGATTATATTTTGTGACAAGTGTCTCACACCCTGGAAAGCCCCAACCCCAGGCATTATTGCTTTGCTGACAATTCTTTCTCGCACCCAAATAAAAGACATTCCAAGGCAGACACCAGACATAGGAGGACCCGGCTTCAGCATCCATGACCCAGAGACCCTTAACATCAAGCCTATTCCTACCCTCTGTGCTGGATAGTTTTAGTGTCAACTTGACACACCTGGGTTGAGGGAGCCTCAACTGGGGAATTGCTGTCATTGGGCTACCTGTGGCCATGTCCATGGGGCACCTTCTTCATTGGTGAGTGATGTGGGAGGACCCAGCCCACTGTGGGTGGTGCCACCCTTGGGCAGGTGGGCCTGTGTTGCATAAGAAAGCAGGCTGAGCAGGGGCCAGGGGAGCAAGCCAGTAAGCAGAGTTGTTCCATGGCCTGTGCTCGAGCTCCTGCCTCCAGGTTCCTGTCCTGAGTGCCTCCCTAATGAACTGTGACCTGGGAGATGTAAACTGAATAAATCCTTTTCTCCCTAAGTTGGCAGTGGTCAGAGTGTTTTGTCACAGCAATGGAGTAACAAACAAGGACAGCCTCTGACCAGTTTCAACTCCATCAACCTTCTTGACAACTATTGTGGGTTGAATGGTGCCCTCCAAATGTCCAGGTTCTAATCCTCATTGCATACATGACCTGATAAAGGAATAGAGTCTCCGCAGATGTCTTTAAGGAGTGGCTTCAAGTGGACCCTATGCCAGGTCCTGGTGTCTTTGTAGGATGAAGACAATTTGGTCACAGAGAAGAAAAGAGATACAAAGGAGAGATTGTGGCAACAAAGTGGTATGTACAGAAGCCAAGCAAAGCTGAGGACTGCCAGCATCTCCTATAACCTAAGGCCTTCCTTGGGACTGGAAGAAAAACACGGCCTTAACCAGCCTCTTGGTCTCATACTTAGGACTTCTGGAACTGTGATAAATACATTTCTGTTGTTTAAAGTTATAAAGTTAGTGCAACTTGTTACAGCACTCTTGGGAAGATAATACCAGCAATTTATACTGATCCTATTATCTGTGCCTACCTCAGGGTAGTCATGACCCTTTTTCCCACCAAGTCACTCTTTCTAGCTTGTAGTCTTCGAGAAGGAATTAGAAGCGATATCAGTCTTTTCTAACCTGAGCCCCTTGCATAGTCTGGCCAGAACTCAGCCCACCACAGAGAATGGCTGGCAGGAGCTCTCTTACAGCGATGTAAGTGGAAAGGTACTTTCTGACTCACCTTCACTTTTAGGTGAGACCATCTGACATATCCTTGACTGTATAACAAAACTCCTAAAGATCAGCCTTTTTATCTTTGGCAGTCATCCCGACCTGTTCAGATGGTTTTTACAGAGCTTCACTAGAAAGAGGAAAAATAAATCAATCTCCCAGGTTTTTCAAAACTTATTCCCCATGGATGACAGGAACTGAGACTCAGAAACACAAACTGATGCATAGTGATAGAAAGTATTAATGCATGTTTACCTGATTGTAAGTCTGGTTCCTTTGCATATTAAGGTACCTATGTACAAAGGAAAGCAAGCACTCTGCATAAGACCAAGCTCGTTATTTTATTTTTGGTGTTGTAATTTTGGTTATTTCTGTGTGTATTCTGGGGAATGTTGTGATCCTCTTGAAGGAAGAACATAGATTAACTCAAATATATCATACTCCCTGGATTCTAGAGAAAGAAAGCTGGAAGCTGAGGAGAGAGATTAGTCAAAGAAGAAGCAGAAAAAGAATAGTTATAAACAAATCAAAACAAAAAAAAAATGAATCCGAAAAAAAAATCTCAAAATGCAGAGACTCCAGGCCTGACTTGAGGCACCAGGTAAGAACACCAGAGAAAATAAGTACAACTTAGAAAACCCAGAGCAACCGTGTGTCTGAGTCAAGCCCAAAGCCATGTCTCACCTGTCTGTTAGACAGCATCACTTGGAAGAAACATACTGATTTAACAACAGAAGGGGTAGAAAATGGAGAATTAATCCTTCCTCCGTTATACCCATGGAGGTTGTAAGTGAAGCCCTTTTCTCTTTACCTTCTCAGTTCAGAGCTCATTGAACTAGGATGTCAGTGTCAGCTAGATACACTTGTCAGCATTCTCATGGAGAAGGCTGGATTGGAGAACTTACTATAATGGTCCACTGGCAAATAGGAGACCTTTCACATTCATTCCCAAGCGTGGACATCCACCTTTACCCCAGTAAGTCTACAGAGCAGCAATACTCTGTTAACTTCTCTGGAACCTTTGCAAGCAATAGATGTAGATAGCTTTTCTGGCTGAGCACGGCTATGTGCGTATAGGACCTGGCACACCATCTGAGGGTTGCTTCTCTGTTCTTGCTGGACCCCAGGATTGACCTTTGTTAGCACTGAATTCTTTGCAGCTACCATGCCCAGGCAAGGCTTCATTTCTCAGTCTGTAGCATGGGGAAACATCTGCTTGGCTCCAACACACTAGGGAAGAAACCTAGGAAAGACCAGAACCCTGGAGCCTCTGGCTCTACCTTGAGAAGGTGTGTTCCAGGTATGACTTGAAAAGGTCCTAGTCAAGGGATACCAACTAATGCAGAGGTTTTAGAAGTGTTGACAAAAACCCACAATAGATATTTTATGTCCACGGCCCAACACACATGCCTACACACATGACCATACACCTGCACAGACTAAAAAGTTTACAATATTTTATTTAAATACATTATTTTGTTTCACAGTGCTCTCAATCTTTGTTGATCTAATAAACCTTAATTTGCCAATAGTTTGAGAAACTGTGGAAGTCAAACTCTTGCGCCATCCATCTGATAAAGCATTCTTTCTTCCCTGGAAATGAGGGAGAGGAACCGGGAGAATGAAAGAAAGTGTAGACATTCCTGTCCCGATTTCCAAAGGAGAAAAACATCACATTTGAGGAACTCCAGAAACGCAAGCCGGAAAACACAGTATGCTTGTGGCCCTGAGACACAGACACCGTAGTTTAGATGGTGGATGACAATTTCAGGATACCAAAATGGTTTTATGTGTGCCTATTTGTTTGTTTTATTTCTTTGTTTTATGGCAGGGTCTGTCTCACTGCACGGCCCAGTCTGGCCTGGAATTAGGTGCTCTTTTGATTTAAGGAAATATGGTCTTTTTCCTGAATGGTGACTTGAATCTAAAGTATTTGGTTTTGTTTTGTTTTATTTTAATCTGGGGATGAGAAGATTTTATTGTTATTATTTCAGCTTATAGCTACCAGTTATTATCGCTGAAGCTCCTGAGGCAACTTCTCTGTCCCCATGCCAAGTAGCTGTCTCCCTGACCCCACCTTCCAGGAAGAGTAGGGGACAAGGTCATGACCCAGGACACGCTGCTACTTTAGAAACTCAACCCAGACTGGCTAGACCGAGGATTCTGCCATGTCTGCATGGGTGGCCTTACTGTTGCTCTGGGGTGAGGTATCCTAGGGCCTGGGTCCCTCTAGGGCAGGAGGGATGTGAATGGGAACTCACAGGCTCTGTTTCTACAGGTTTCACCCTGGGCCCAGCAACGGATGGAGCAGTCTGTGAGTTCTGGTCTAGGGCCTGGGAATAGTGGACTGTGGGGACACCTTTTCCAGACAGCAGCAAGCTGACCCCAACTTCCTTCACTCCAGTTGTTAGTACTCAACCCAGTCTGTGGGCAGAGCCGGAGTCACTGCTGGAACCCTGGGCCAACCTGACACTGACCTGTGAGGCCTACCGGGAGACTCAAGACTTCCAACTGCTCAAGAACGGGGTGGTCCAGGAGCAAGTCCGTGTTGGTTTTCCTGTCATCAAGTATCACTTCCCACTGGGAACAGTGACAAGTAACAACCGGGGCCTCTATGGCTGCCAAACAGGCTTGAGCTTTGCAGGCGTATGGACAGAGCTGAGCAATCTCCTGGAGGTGACAGGAACAGGTAAGCAAGAGGTCAGAAGGTAGTGGAAGGAGAGCGATGGGGGAGCATTCCTCAGAGGCATCTGATATCTCTGAGCCTCAGTTTGCTTAGCTGTCAAGCAGGGGATGTTCATGCTGCACCCAGAGGGTCATGAGTGCTAAGTCCCATAGAGATCTGGGAACAGACCTGGAACACAGTATTACCCTCCACTGGTCTCTGTGCTGTAGGCCCTTGTCTCTGCTGTCCCTGCCTCCCTGCCATCAGTACCCTCCCTCTCCTTGTCACCCTTATGTTTTCTGATTATGGACTTCAAGTTCTCCCTCTCACCTGAGCCAGGAAGAAACACTCATCAGCCCTGTTCTATCCACAGAGCCCTTGCCTCAACCGGGGATCACTACCCAGCCAGTGTCCTGGATCACACCAGGCCTGGACACAAAGCTACTGTGCAAGGTGGGCCTCCGGGGTGTGATCTTCCTGCTGAGGCGAGAAGGTGATGCTGGTTTTCTGGAGGTAAGTGAGGTTGCAAAGGATGGATATGCCACCTTCCCAGTTCACCAGCCTGGAAACTACAGCTGCAGCTACCAGACTCATCCAGCAGGCAAACCCTCAGAGCCCAGCGCCACTGTCACCATCAAGGAGTACGGTGAGTGCTGAACCCCAATGCTGAAAACCCCTGCCTAGGACTGAATCCGTGGACACCAAAGATGGGAGGGGTGTCCTTGGGCTGTCACCTGGAAGACAGAAGATTGGGGACTGGGCAGAGGGTAGCTGGGGTAGCTCTCTGGGGTTCCCTGACAAGCGGTGTGTACTGGACTGATTCAAGGACTCCCCTGCCTCCAGCCACACCTCCTCCACCTGAACTTTCTTACGGCAAGATCCTGAGACCCATCACCCACTGGAACCTTGTCTGTGTGGGGCCCTTGAGCAACGCTGAGTTCCAACTGAGGCAAGGGGAGAAAGATTTGAAGGTCCCCAGGAGCAGCACCTACCCAGAGCTTGTCTTCTTTCACCTGAAGTTGGAGGACATGGGGGACCATGGTCCTGTGACTTGCCGCTACAGGCTTCGCAGCAGGAAGGCAGCCTGGTCTGCAGACAGCGAGCCCTTAGAGCTGATATGGAGCGATGGTGAGCAGCACTGCTAGGGAGCAGAGTGGGCTGAGAAGGTGAGGAGCGGGATGGAGGCCTGGAAGCTAGAGTTCCCGAACCCACAGAAACCACCCCTTCAGTCTTGGAGTCTCCAGCTTCAAATGCGACAGTGAACACAGCAGCCTGGAGGGCTGCAAAGGTCACCAGAGAGGTCTGGCACAGATCTGGATGGCCTGTAGCCTGCCAAGGGATCCTAGCTGGGGGGTCTCCTGCCTGCCCAGGGCCTGCCAAGGAGCAGAGTAGAGAGGGGACTTGGGCAGTCACAAGGTAGAAGGCTCAGCAAGAACACAAGATGGATCATGTGTGGGGCCTGTGCTGTGCCCTCAGACTAGGTCAGCATGTCTTGAATTCCACAGAGACGCTGCCGGCTCCGGTGCTTACTGTGGAGCCTGAGGGTTCAAATCCTGAACCTGGCTCTCGGGTGCAGCTGCGATGCACAGCTCCCAAGGCCGGCCTGAGCTTCGCCCTGAAACGCGAGAACTGGGGCCAGCACAGCCTTCTGCAGATACTGAAGCCCACCGGGACCGAGGCGGTCTTCCAGCTCCCTGGCTTCTCCGTCGCGGACTCTGGCAACTACAGCTGTTTCTACTCGGACCTGGCGCCTCCTTTTGCAGGCTCCGCACCCAGCACTAGTCTGGAACTGAGTGTGGATGGTGAGTGTGGACCGGGGGAGGGGTGGGGGGTTGGGGGGGTGGCCCTGTAGGGTGCTCGGTAAGCCACCAGTTGTTTCTGGGCTGTGTTCCTCCTGTGAGACACCCACCTTTCTGGGTTGTCCATTAAAACGAGTAGGAGGATCTCGAAGTCCATGACATGAGGCCCAGCAGTGAAACCTGGCACTCTGGCTGGTTTCCAATAGCCTAAGCCAGAAGGCGGTAAGTTGAGTCCTGTTCAAAAATGTGAAGGCAGGATCCAGATTTTTCCTGTTCAGATGTGCCTTCCTGTGCCTCGGTTTCCCTGTGCTGTCTGCATCTCAGTTCCACTTATATGGATTGACCCCCTTGGGGCCATCTCCACTGGTTTTGGGTTAATGGGTAATTTTCCAGAGTGCTCGGTCCCTGCGGTCTATTTATTCCCTGATTTCCTCATCAAGGTCTCCACCAGGGCAGAGGTCACCCTCATAGAACCTGCACAGGCTGAGCAGGCTTAGATTCTGCCTCCAGACCTTTAGACTCTACTGCCAGAAACAGTTTGCTGCAGGCTTCCTTCACCCCTCTGTAGACCCCATGAAGTCCTGGGATAGGCCAGGGCCTGGGAATTCTCATGGAACTTGTGAGGCTAAGACTTAGACCCTTAGACCAGATACAGATGTGACTGCACAGGTGCCCAAGATGCAGAACGGCATAGGAATTGTCTGGCTCAGAGTGGACGGAGTGCATCGGAGTGCACCCAGGCCAAAACTCCAGGCCCTGTGGACTGGTACCGTGCCTGCGGGCCGTGATGCAGTTCTGCGTTGCGAGGCCCCCATACCCAAGGTCACCTTCCATCTGCTGCGTGATGGCAAGAAAGTACCTTCCACAGTTCAGAACATGCTGAGTTCATCAACAGACCTTGCCCTGCCCTTCGTGGGTCCCCAGCATACGGGCAACTACAGCTGTCGCTATTCCGGGTCTAATAGCTTCCAATCAGAGCTCAGCGAGCCAGTGGAACTCCTAGTCGTGGATGAGGCTTCCTCGGGGCGCTGATTCGGTTCTGCTGCTTGGTCTTGGCTGGGTTGTACACTGACTGATTACCTAATCCAGCCGTATGTGCAAAGGCTGTGGCAAAGTTCAAGGTCAGTGAACCCATTTTTCTTTTGTCAAATTTGTCTAGGAAGCTGATCTAGCTGTGTAACCGGGTTGCAATGGTATCCTTGGAAAGAACCAGAAGTACTGACAGAACTCCCTCCCATTGCTCCTGCTACAGGACGTTTCACCTTCATTGCCCCCGAAGTTAATAAATATTAAGGAACAGTTTGTGTAAGTGTGTCTTCCACTTGTGGGTCCAGTCTGGAACAGTTGAATGTGGACTGAAACTGATCTCCTAGGCCTCAGAGCCTGTGTCATTAAAATAGGGGGACTGGGAAGTAGAGGGTGGTGGGGGTCCTCTGACTTGGATCCTGAGGGTGGAAGGGTGGAAGACTGGTCCTGGGCCCACATGTCTCAAGATCCCTTTCTCCAGCCCTCCTCTATCCAACTGCCTCTGAGTTTTCAGGCACTTCTGCCCGTTCCAGCAGGTGTGGGCAGGTAGCATGGGAACTCCAGAAACTCCAGTCTTAACTTTGATTGGCTTGGTCCCTACCCCAACAGCAAGGCACGAGATGCTGGCTTTGTTTTTATTTTTACAAATATGCCCTGGTGGATGGCTTCAGAGTGTGACCAAATCAATGCATTATCGGAAGTGACTCAACTGGAACAAACCAGAGCAACAAAACATCTTCAGAGCTGAACCAATACTGTGTTCCCTTCAAGCCTCAGTGGAATCTGAGACTGAAGCCTGAAGTGTTGATCCCAGAAACAGAAGGGAGGGCCCCAGCTTGAAGTTGCTCTGCCTCCTGAAATGTGTGTCAGGCATTCCCCATGCTCTCGGTTCCCACCATGACTCTCAAATGCTCCACGCCTCCCAGCCAGCAGTTGCTCATCCAGCGCCTTTATTTAGACTATTCTTTCTCCCCCTTTATCTTGCATTTATAAGCTAAAATACTGACTCACGTTTGGAAAAGGAAGGGCCATTCATTCATTCATTTTCTCTTTCAACAAACTCTAATCAGAGTTTCAGCATAATCCAGGAGCCACGTTGGTTTGTGGGGATCTCAATAATGAACAATACACGGTCCGTATTCTTAAAGAATGTACAGTCTAAGGCAAGTTAGATGACTTAGTGGTTAAAAGCTCTTGTCCCACAATCCTGTTGCCCTTAATTGATCCTCTGAGCCCACATTTTAAAAAACAAAAACAGAATGTGATGGCATGCATCTATAATCCCAATACTACAGGGAGATGGAGGGGAGAAAGGAAAGTGGCCTGCTGCTGGTCCAGCTAGCTTGGAGTGCGCAACACACCAGAAATGCCAAGAAAGACTTTGCCTCTACAAGTTAGAAACAGAGACACAACACAGAAAGTTTTCCTTTTATCCTCACAGGGCACACCTATCACATACATGTCCATCCTCACAGGGCACACCTATCACATACATGTCCATCCTCACAGGGCACACACTATTACATGCATGCCCATCCTCACAGGGCACACACTATCACATACATGCCCATCCTCACATATACACCCAGTAATCATAAACTAATAAATAAAAGAATGAATATAGTTTAGCCAAAAGCAGTAGATTCTCCCAGGATAATGTGCAGATTGTAACAATTCAAATGAGTTAACAGGGCATTATTGGTGCATAGGTCTCTGACTCTAATGCCTTGAAAGTAACATAATGAGTTACCTAAGACTCCTTGGAGTTGTTGATTCCTGACACAGCTGGAGATGCAAAAAGAAAATGGGAATCCTATGGGGACCACAACCATTTTAGATAAATATCATTCTCAATTTATTTTATTTTATTTTTAAATATTTTATTTATTATTTTTATTTTATGTGTATGTGTGTAT